GAAACCCGTACGGATCCACTTCTTGTTTAGTGGAATTATGGCTCTGCACTTTTCATTAGACAGACATTTTTACCGCTTCTTGTTTAGTGGTATGATGAGCTGCACACTTTCATTATACAGACATATTCTATTATGTGAGTATTTCTTTTTTTAAAAAAAAAAAGGATGATCGGTTCCGGGTGTATATCTTCGGACCGTGAGTACCTTTATTTTAAATGCTTTATAAAATTATATCCTACTGGGCCTTTCGCTCACCTTTTCCTGTTTTCAAATGTATTAAACCCCTTCAGGCGACGCCAGAAGTAGTGCGGAGTAGGTAGCTATTACCGGCGATGTGGACTTGTTTCAGGAAAGCGAAGAGTTGTATTTCCTCTAATCCCTTATCTCAAGGCATGTATAAAAGATTATGGATTGTAAACTTAAATATTACTAGACTGTGGTTGATGTCACATTTACTCTTGTTTATATTCATGTATGCTAAACACCTGTGAGAATTCCTGACATGATACTAAGGACGTGGTTTTAAACTAGTTTGGTTAGAAATTCCACCACCGTTCTTGAAATTAAATTTCTCTTGAATGCAGGGGCTTGTTTGGAAATACCTGGATGTTTTGAATTTGAAAAAAAAAAAGAAAAATATTATAATGTTTACAACATTATATGCTAATCATTCTCTTAAACAGGTTTAAGTTTCTAAACAAGTCTCCACGTCACTAACCCCGGTTTGGAGGTGTGACAGGTATCTTTATGTGAAAGGTTGTAATGTATAAAGAGAATGCATTCATTCATGAAATGACACCTTTGTCGTTATTAATTCTCCAGAAAATTTACAAACTTAACTAATGTTCTGGAACTCAATATTATTTCTAGATATTGTGTTCAAGGGTTTGTTGTATCTTGAGGGTAATTTGCCATTAAAACTCATTAGCAAACTTTGAGAAGTGTGGGCAAATAAAATCTTAAAAGAAAGTATTCATATACGCCTCAAACCCTCTCTCGTTTCTGCATTCTTTTCACCTTCTACACTCAAATTCACCAACAATAGGGACAATCACACCACATCATAGGGGGGACTCTAGCCAGAAAACATACATCACACCGTTTACAAACGGGTTAGAGACACAAGCGTAGGACATCGCTTCCGTTATTACAAAAATAAAAACATCAAAGTAAAACCAGAAAACACACTAAAAGGGCAGAAACATCAATCCCCTTATTACAAATAAACAAAAGAAAGATCTATTGACAGTAAGCTATCGGCTGTGGAACAGACTTCAGATATGAGCGAAGCCATCCTAGAAGGAAAGCACACCCATGGGAGGTGGAGGACTATGTGAGGACCATGGCAAAATGAAGGAGATGTTTGAAACGAACACTCCAGCCACCAATGGAGAACGGAACCACCGCCTCCACAAAAATCTCGCCACCATGCGGATCAACACACTATGGGAGTGTGACCACCCACAGACGAAAACGCTGAAAGCAACGGTCCAAACTTGAAGCGACCCACCTCCAAGACAAGTTAGACCTGCCCTAATAGATGTGCCACTCCACACATAACCATCATCACGAGAAAGCCGAAACCCCCCTTTTTTTTACTTATACTTACAAGTATATCCTATACTCATTATGTAAATCAAATTTATCAAATCCGAAGACCAAACTTCAGGACCGAAAGCCCGACAACGCGCCTGGAGGCGGCGCCGGAGCTCCGATCAAACACTGCAACATATTCGTATTTAGAGAGAGAAAGAAAAAGAAAGGAAAATCATGAGATATTACCTAATAATACTCTTTTCGTTGTAGTGATTTTAGGTTGTTGAACAATCTACAACAAGAATTTTTTTTTCTGGCGGTAGAATACAATAACTTATAAATTTAAACGTTGGAATTGTAGGTATTACAATACACTTATGAACTTTAAAAGTTTCTATGTTGGTGTCATGCATTATGTTTGAGAAATGATATTCTTACAAACTTTAAACGTTATAATTTTAAATTAGGAAATGCACTTGAAAATCAGTAAAGATGCCGTGGATTAGACTCCCAACACCCTATAATAAACAAAGATGTTTTGTAAATCGTATTTTATTCTGGACAAAAAAAAAATATATATATATATATATATATAACATAAATTATTTATGTATAATGGTTTCTACCATCATTGTAGTTTTGAAATATTAGTTGGAAAACAGCTTGAAAAAAAACAAAAAAACCTAAGTTGGAGAGGGTATACTTGTCAATGAGTTGACGGTGGTTAAACGCCCTCAAAGTATATTACTAGAATTATTCCTCGAGTTCTCTTTCCTAATAATCATTTAAATTCCTTTATTATGAAAACTCTGTTTTTTGACATTTAAAAAGATGTTTGGCAAAAAGAAAAAGAAGTTTAAAGAGATGGATTAAACGACACTGCTTAAAATAACAAGATAAAAATAAATTAAAATATTAAGAATTAAGATGATTTTTGAGCAAAGTAAGTAGTTAAATAATTCTATTTTATAGAGTTATCAATTGTTCCCCACTTTTCTTCATTTATTTTCTTTCTATACGTTTTGTTCTCTCTCTATTTTTTTTTACTGCTTTTTTGTTTTTTGTCTTCTTACATTTTTATTTTAATTTTTATTTCCACCTTTTATTTTCTCTACTCCCTTTTCTATTGTTATATTTTTTTCTGTCTCCTCAAATATCTTATGTGTTTTCAGATTTATGTGCCATATTGCTAAAGCCCAATGGCTTTTTATCTTTTATTCTTGTTACTTCTCATTATTTTACACTTTTTTATGTTGTTTCCTCAAATAGTTATATTTTTTATCTTATGTATTTTTAGATCTACGGCTCGGCCTGGGCTCAACGGCCCGAAAAGAAGTCGGCCCAGCTCTAAAAGAGAGAGGATCGGCTCAGTCTGGCTCTAAACCCAAAAAATTTATGGCCGATTGGACTCAAAATTTTATAAGATATTTTTAAAAAAAAAAATCTTTAAAAATATGGTTCGGCCCTAAAGGAGAGAGGGCTGGCCTAGTCTGGTCTTAAGCCCAAAAAATTTAAGTTGAGACAGGACACTTGTCAACAATAGCAGGCCTCAACCCGGCTCAAACTTGCAATTTTAGTTAAAAGGAAAAAAATTTTTAAAAACAACTTTTTAGGTAAAAAAAAAAAGTATTTTATAAATAATTAAATTAAATAGTATATTTGCCAATAAATGTATTTACTTGACATATTTATTAATAAATATTACATTTACACCCGATAAATAAGTATTTATTAATAAATATGTTATTTATTTTAATTATTTTCATGAAGTATATTTCCTTTTTCCTCAATAATTGTTTTGTACTTCGTACGGTATAATGTTGTAGTAAGTATGTTTTTCGTTCCTCAACAATTTTTATAGTAAGCTTATAATTCTTATCATACGCCGTGATGGAGGCGCAAGTATAGTATTCTTTCTTTTATCTTGAGTATCTTTTAGGTAATTTTATAATTCGTAAAATATGATACGATACAACATGACACGGTATAATTTGACAGCAAATCAACACATTTTCCTTAATAACCTTGTAAAGTGATTTTTAATTCTTAAAATGCAGCGGACTATGGCTATAAGTATATTTTCCCTTTTTTCTTTTTTCTTTCTCGGCAAAATGAATAATTATTATATATTAAAAAGAAAACCTGAATGAAAATCACAAACCGCCGTAAAAACAAAATTCTTAATAAATTCGCTACTATATTTGTCCACAGAGAGGGGGTATAATGGTAAAAAGACTCTAAATGTGAAGTAAAGATTTATTTATTTCGTTGATTCGAATTTATAATTTAAATTAAGATGTGATTTTATAAAATTTTTTTTTATTATAATAAAAAAATTAAATATAACTATTTATAATAACTTTTTACTCTAGTAAAACTCAAATAACGACCTTTAAGTATTCACCGTATCATCAGCGAATTTCTCGCTTCTCGCCCTTCTTCTTCAGATACTCACTTTCCAAAACTTTCTCTCTCTCCTCTTTCTCTCTGTTTATTTATTTCCTCCCAAACTTCACAGAGTTCTCAGCGTATCAGCAACGAAAACCATTGGCAAAACTCCAAAACTTGAGCTTTGAATTCAACTTTCTATTGTTTCTCTCTCTTCATTTCTATATGAACGGTTAGAGAGAGACAGAGAAAGAGAGACGAGTTGCGGAGTTCAGTGTAGGACTTTCTCTGAGCTCGGAGTTTTAGAGAGAGAAAGAAATGGCTGGAAATGATTGGATAAACAGTTATCTAGAGGCGATTCTGGACGTAGGGCCAGGTCTTGACGATGTGAAGTCGTCGCTGCTTCTGAGAGAGAGAGGCCATTTCAGTCCCACTCGCTACTTCGTCGAGGAGGTCATCACCGGATTCGATGAGACCGATCTCCATCGCTCCTGGGTTAAGGTTGTGTGTTTTTTTACGCTTTTTTCTCTTTTGATTTTTTCTTTTTCTGTTTTTGCTCGATGAGAATTTCGTTTGATTGTTTCTGGGTGATTCCCCAGGCAGCGGCGACGAGGAGTCCTCAGGAGAGGAACACCAGATTGGAGAATATGTGCTGGAGGATTTGGAATTTGGCTCGCCAGAAGAAGCAGGTGTTTGTTTTTTTAATTATTTTTTTTAAATATTGGTGATTTGCATAGTTTAAGTTTGATTCGTATATTTTAAATCGATAATTAAGATTTGAAGTATGCTTTAGTTATGTATGAATAATTGGATTAGTAGATATATGAAAGCAAGATCCTTGATGAGTTTCTTACTGTTTAGCTGTAATGTTGATGGTGATTTCTCGTCAACAAAAATCGGCCGTGTTATCTCTTGATTTACCGGCCTAGGTGTTTGAATATGTGTGAAAATTTATTGGTTGGGGTATATGTTGTGTAGTCTGAGATGTGCACAAATAAAGAAGACAATAAATTTTATAGTGGTTCACTCTGTAAAATTAGAGCTATATCCACTGTAGTTGTTTATTCTTTTTTGAGAAGATTACAATTTACATCAATTGTTCTCTCTCACTCTCTTTTTTCTCTTCTTGGATCTGAACCCCCTCCTCGTAGGGGGTCTCCCTTCTTTTATACTGGGCTTCATTCGCTGGGTGGGTTTCCCTCGTAGACAGAAGCACTCAAGTGTTTCCCCTTTTTAGGCCCAGACGTAGCCCACTAATTAACACTGTTCACTCAGCCAATTAGTCTTCTATTACGGTTCTGTGCGTCCCTGTGACACTATCATATCCCATGTGGGGCGGTTTAAGAGCTCGCAATTAATGCCTGCAGGCGTCCTCCACTTTTGTACGCAACTTGCCACGTCCTCTAGAGAATGCTCTCCTCGTCGCCAGCGACGCTTTAGCCCAGTCGTCTTTCTTGGTGGTTGATTCTGTGGTCGAGGGATCTCTGCACCTTAAGCTCGACGGCTCAATCAGTCGACGTCAGAAGGAATCGTCGTCTTAAGTTGGACTTCGTGCTTGGGTTTTTCAGAGCTGCAGACGTCGAGGGTTGTTGCTTGGCCTCGTCGCCAGCGACGCTTTAGCCCAGTCGTCCTTCTTGGTGGTTGATTCTGTGGTCGAGGGATCTCTGCACCTTAAGCTCCACAGCTCAATTAGTCGACGTCAGAAGGAATTGTCGCCTTAAGTTGGACTTCGTGCTTGGGTTTTTCAGAGCTGTAGACGTCGAGGGTTGTTGCTTGACGGGGAGTAGTTAAGGCCACGTGTCGCATTATCGTTCGTCCAGGTGTCCGGCACATTTTCCCACACAACAGTTACCCCCCAGGTCGAGGACTTCTTTTAGGCGGCCTCGAGCTTTGGTTCGGTCGCACTTCCGTGCTTCGGGTGTGGGAAACCGGTCCCGAGCCTTCCTCTGCAATGATGGCCAGTACGCTTCGGATTTCTTTCGGGGGACGCAACCGTCGCGTCGGTCGATTCCCTATGATGACACAAGGCTCCATTTTAAAAGGACGAATACGAGCCTTTGGATTGCGACTCTTCCGTTTCCCGCTCTCGTTTGTCACCGTCAGATTTGGGCAGGACCCCTTTGCCGTTAGATTTTAAAATCTTCATCCAACGGTCAGGGATCAAGGACTTTCGCCCTTTTAAATACCCTCTTCGAATTTGAAAAGCATTTTTTCAAAACGCAAACAAGAAGTACGAATCGATGTTGTGTGGAATCCTTCTCCACACAACATCGATTCGTACTTCTTGTTTTTTAAGGCGTGCCGCGGAGCCGTATTCAATCTGAGATTCTCTCCCTGGAACTCTTCTTTACTGGTAAGCTTCACCATCCTCTGTTCGTTCTGCTCACTCATGGGTTTTTTCTTCGTTGATTCACATATGTATGGAAATACGCAGAATGTAGAAGTTAGGGATACTTATTCTGTTTTACGTTTCCGCACAGGATAGTTTTGTTTCCATCTTTTTGTTGTCTGTGCTCTTCTGGTTTCTGGGTTCCGGGGAACCTGGGACTCTATGAGCACTCGCCGTTACCATTCTCATATGAATGGTCGACGTCAAGTCGAGTCGTTTGAGTAATCGTCGTTTAGAATAGTCATCATTTTCTTCCTCTTGACGTTAGGGTTTTAACTTAGCTCATTGTCTTTTTAATCACCAGAACAATGGCCCAAAATTCTCCCAGTCGAGAGGATCCTTCCGTCGTCCGTCCAGACTCCCCTTCAATGGTGGAGATCTCATGGTCTTCTTCGTCTTCAGGCGTCGACTCCGTTCTGAGGGACATAGAAGACGTCGAAGCAAGATATGAAGACGTCGAATCCAGATGTGAACCAGGCGACGGCTTCGGTAGTGAATTCGACAGCGTAGAACGGATGTTGGACGAGGTGGCAGAGCGGATCCCCTTCATGGGGGGCAGTGTAGGCGGGGTGGCTGCCTCGATGGTAGATGCCCCCCTGGCTGCTACGAGCGGTGATCCGGATAGGCCATTCTTCACCGCCGATGTTGTGGCGTCGAGGGTCCGGAATAAAGATATCATCCGGGCCGTAAAGGAAGGATGCATCGACGGGAGGTGGTTCGAATACCTCCTCCCGGACATGCATTTTAAGACTAGCATGCCGCCGACCGGGTACCTCCCGGTCTATACTAGAGCCGTTACGGCGGGGATGACCCTCCCGGTTCATCATTTTGTAAAAGACTACTGTCATTTTTATGGCATTTCCTCCACTCAACTAGCGCTGAACTTCTGGTACTGTTTTGCCGGCGCCTGGATTTTGTGGCACTAACAGTTTGATATGGAACTTCCTCTGGACGAGTTCCGATTTATGTACAAACTGTGTCACGTTGCCAAGTGTGAGGGTTGGTATTTTTTGAGTGGTCACGGGAGGTCTCAGCTCAGATTTGGGAAGTTGATACTGGGCATTCTCTCGTCGTCACATGGGTGGAAACCCATGTTTTTCATTATTCGTGAGCCTTTCAATTTTCACCCCTACGACCGCCTGCCCCGTCGAAGGCAGGTGCAGGCGGCGTTTGGGAATAAGGGTGAGAATTCTGACTCTCTTACCTTACTTTGCTTCTTTCTCCTTTTCCGTATGCTGACAGTCTTTAACCCTCTAGTTGACCAAGATCGGCCGAAGTTTTCTAGGAATAGCTTGGCGAGGGTCGAGAAGGCTTTCTCGTATTCGTCCGAGATCCGCCATATTGATACGCTCCTGACCACGCCCAACCTTAAAGCCGCCGGGTTGATTCTTGATCTCACAGATCCTTCGGACCTAGACGCCGTTCGCGCATACTTCCATTTAAGCGACGAAGGTAACTTCTGCTCTTGATGCCTTTATTTATTACGGCTTTCGTTTTCCAAATGCTGACTATACATTTGTCTCGTCTTCTCCGTAGAGATGGCGTCTTTGAGAATCCAACTCCCTGGCAGTCAGCAATCCGGGCCGAGCCAGCAGCCGTCGTCGAATCAACAATCCTCGCCGAGCCAACAGCCCCCGTCGAAGGGAAAAGAGAAAGCTAGCTCTTCTTCCCACGTGCCGAGTAGCAAGAAGACCAAAGGCCCTTCGGGGTCAGAGATAGATCCTGCGCGGAAAAAGAGACGCAGCGAGAAGACGCCAGTGGTCGAAACTTGGACACCGACGGTCCCCATCCCTAAGGTTAACGTTCCCTCGGCGCCGAGGGAACGCGTACTTATTCCCGGGGGAAAAATTATGGATGGAAATTTTCAAGTCTTGGACATCTCTGACGCCGAGATCGGGGCAATGCTGAAACTTCCTCCTCGCTTCTCCTTCGTCTTTCAGGCTCTATATGAGTCTTTCCTCGAGCCACACTGGGTTGCTGCCGCTCAATCTTCCTTGGTCGACCGTCAGCGCAAACAGATCTCCTTCCAAATCCACGTAAGATTTTGCCGAGAGTGTTTTTTTTTTTTTGCTGACCTTCAACTTTTCAGAGCCTGGTTATTTCCATCCTTAACCTCCTTGACCTAGTTAAGGTTGAGGAGCGTAATAAGGAGATGGACGATGTGGAAGCGAAGCTCAACTCCCTTGTCACCGACGCCAAAAAAAAGTTGTATGATGCCGTCGAGAAGAGAGATGTGGCCGTGGCCAAGCTGTCGAGTCTGGAAGGCGAACTGGAAAAGTTGACTGCTAAGGTCGAAGATCTTACGAAGCGGGCAAACCTGTCCGATAAGAAGTTGTCCGAAGCAACTGAGGCAGGGAAGAAGCGTTTTGCTGAGGGGAAGGCCGAGGGGAAGAGGGAAGCCGAGCCGAGGCTGCAGCTACCTTTGACGCCAGGCGCGCTGAGATAATTGAGGAGTTCAAAGCCTCTCCAGAGCTCATCGACATCCGCAACAAGAATTTTCAATCTGCAGGTCAACAAATTGTCGATATGATCAAGAAGGAGCGTCCTGATTGGGACTTGAGCTTCGTTTATAACTCTCCTCCTCCTGCTGGCGACGACATTCTTTCCTCGCCTGGTGACGGAGATGAATCGGCGGCTGGCGGCGAAGCCTGAAAAGATTTTTACCTCTCTCTCTTTGTTGGTAACTTAATGTAACGGATTTTATTCATATCTTGCTTTGCAATTGTTGTCTTAGAAAGTTCTTTAGAATTTTGTTAAGTGTCCGTCTTTTTTCCTTGGAGAATTTGATGCTAATTTCACCCTTTGGGGTCGTCGCCTTAGAAAATTCCTTAGAATTTTGCTAAGTGCTCGCCTTTCCTCATCGGAAGATCTGACGCCGATTTTACCCCTTGGGGTCGTCGTCTTAGAAAATTCTTTAGAATTTTGCTAAGTATTCGCCTTTACTCCTTAGAGGATATGACGCTGATTTTACCCCTTGGGGTCGTCGTCTTAGAAAATTCTTTAGAATTTTGTTAAGTATTCGCCTTTCCTCCTTGGAGGATCTGACGTCAAATCTACCTTTTCGGGTCATCGTCGTCGTCTTAGGCCCCGTTCTTTTCACTGATTCGAGTTTAGAATTCGAGTTTTGCTATAGTAAAAAGCTCTAAGAAACAGTCACATCTAATTTTTTTGTTACAGTAAAAAGCTCTCACACAACATCACATCTCAACTCGAATTAAAAACTCGAATTAGCGAACCGAACGGGCCATTAGAAAATTCTTTGGAATTTTGCTAAGATTTTCGCCTTTCCTCTTTGTTGGA